GCTAGAACATGACCATACAGCCCGAAACACCTACAACAGCCCAGTGATTCCGGCCATGAAAACCTTGAACAACTTCCTAACAGTGAGAGCTGTTCAGCAGTGGAACTCTCTGCCCCAGAGTGTGGTGGAGGCTGCTTCTTTGGAGGCTTTTAAACAAAGGCTGGGTGGCCATCTGTCGGGGGTGCTTTGAATGCAATTTTCTTGATTCTTAGCAGGGGGTTGGACTGGATGGCCCTCGAGGTCTCTTCCAACTCTATGATTCTATGATTTAGAAATATGTTCTAGGCATCAAAAGGAAAGAGGAAACAGTAATATAACCCGAACATCATTTATCTGGAATTCCGCAATCCTCTGAAATTGTCCGCAAGGGAAACCGATAAAGTTTCTTTCCGATAGTCGAGTATCCACAAACTTTGTTTTATGCCCAAACATTATTTAAAATAACCTTCGCGTTATATGCGTAAAGTATATCAACCGAAATGAATGTAGTGTTTGGACTTGGACCTGCAGAAGGCTTCCCAAGGACTCCCTTATTTATTTATCGTGTCAGAAGCGAATTAAGAATGTGTGTGTGTATTACTCCAAAGTCGCTTCTCAAGTCAAAAAACCCCAAAGTTAAAAACTTGGCCTTATACTAAGTGTCCTTTGACCAGAAGCTGGCCACTTAGAGTGTCTCTGCTGTAGCTGTGAGAAAGTTCTCCATTGTGCATGTGGCAGGGCTCAGGCTGCATTGTAGTACGTGGTCTGTCGTTTGCTCTTCTCCACACTCACATATTGTGGACTCCACTCTATAGTCCCATTTCTTAAGGTTGGCTCTGCATATTGTGGTGCCCGATCACCGCCTTCCAAGTCGCCCAGTCTTCAGTGTGCCCAGGAGGGGGTTTCCTGCAATGCTAGGACTCCCTGCAGTCCCCAACCCTAGAAAGTTGGGGACTGAAGGAATATTTCATGAAGGGAGCAACAGGCTCACGTAGCGATACCTCTGGCTCACTCAGAAGTAAGTCCTGCTGCTTTCAGTTGACTTACTTTCAGTTTCATGCATCTACACAGGGGATGCACTTACAGTCTAATTAATGCAGTTCGATACCATTTTAACTACTGTGACTCAGTGCAATGGAATCCTGGAATTCATAGTTTGTGCACTCGTTGGCAGAGAAGGCTAAATGGTGATGATGAAGAGGGTGATGATATGTTACCCGCCTCGCACCTGGAGACAGGGTACAACATGGTTAAAGACCTTGTAAAACGGCAACTCCCAGGATTCCATAGAATTGAGCTATTGCAGTTCAAGTGGCGTCAAGCTCGCAGTTTTCACCTATAGCAGTGTTTCTCAACCTGGGGATCGCCAAAGACCATCAGAAAACACAGTATTTTCTGTTGGTCATGGGGATTCTGTGTGGGAAGTTTGGCCCAATTCTGTCGCTTGTGAGGTTCAGAATGCCCTTTGATTGTAGGTGAACTATAAATCCCAGCAACTACAACTCCCAAATGTCAATATCTATTTTCCCCCAACTCTACCAGTGTTCACATTTGGGCATATGGAGTATTCCTGCCAAGTTTGGTCCAGAACCAACATTGTTTGAGTCCACAGTGCTCTCTGGATATAGGTGAACTACAACTCTAAAACTCAATGCCAATCAAACCCTTTCAGCATTTTCTGTTGGTCATGGAAGTTCTATGTGACTCAGTTTGGTTCAATTCCATCGTTGGTGGAGTTCAGAATGCTCTTTGATTGTAGGTGAACTATAAATCCCAGTAACTACAACTCCCAAACGCCAAGGTCTATTTTCCCTAAACTCCACCAGTGTTCCCATTTGGGTAGATGGAGTATTCCTGCCAAGTTTGGTCCAGATCCATCATTGTTTGAGTCCACCGTGGTCTCTGGATGTTGGTGAACTACAACTCCAAAACTCAAAGTCAATGCCCACCAAACCCTTCTAGTGTTTTCTGTTAGTCATGGGAGTTATATATGCCAAGTTTGATTCAATTCTGGGTTGTTGTCGGTTTTTCGGGCTATATGGCCATGTTCTAGAAGCATTCTCTCCTGACGTTTCGCCTGCATCTATGGAAGGTACCCTCAGAGGCTGTGAGGTCTGAACGTGGCTAAAAAAAACTCTACAACAACCCAGTGATTCCAGCCATGGAAGCCTTCGACAATACATTGATTCAATTCCACCATCTGTGGAGTTCAGAATGCTCTTTGATTGTAGGTGAACTATAAATTCCAGCAACTACAACTGCCAAATGACAAAACCAACCCCCGTCCCCAACCTCACAAGTATTCAAATGTGGGTGTATCGGGTATTTGTGCCAAATTTGGTCCAGGGAAAGAAAATACATCCTGCATATCAGATATTTACATTAGGGTTCATAACAGCAGCAAACTTATAGTTATGAAGTAGCAAAGAAGATAATTTTATGGTTGGAGGTCAACACAACATGAGGAACTGTATTACGGGGTTGAGGCATTAGGAAGGTTGAGGGCCACTGGCCAGAGTATCCATTCCCCCAGGTGGAACAGGAAGGTACGACGAGAACGGAAACTAAGAAGGAAGGCATACAGACAACAAAGAATAACAAGTCCCAGGATCTGCTTTCAATCCAACCTACTCACAGGATTGGTCGAGACATCGCTTATTTCGAGTATTTGTATTTTATAGGACTACAGGGCTACAAAGAAAAAGTGTGTATGACCAATAGCTAAAGCAGGCCTGGGCAAACTTGGGTCCTCTTGGTGTTTTGGACTTCAACTCCCACCATTCCTAACAGCCTCAGGCCCCTTCCTTTTCCCCCTCAGCCGCGGCTGAGGGGGAAAAGGAAGGGGCCTGAGGCTGTTAGGAATGGTGGGAGTTGAAGTCCAAAACACCAAGAGGACCCAAGTTTGCCCAGGCGTCCTCCCCACCCAGTTAAGTCCTTATTCCTTTCACAGTTGGGAATCTTTGCAAGAGAGAAGGGATTTCTTTCCTTTAGTTCCATCTAACCTCGCTTTTTACGGAGCCAGCTGCAAACTGTTTACAAGACTCAAGACCTACCCAATGATTCGTTTGAGAGCAGCTGCATTTTCCTTCCCGTTTCCTCTATTTTTTCTCTCCCAAACCAAAACCTCGATTATAGCGGTAGGAGGGAATCCCTGCCATCCTTTAAGGCAGACACCAAGCAAGAGCCAGTTACAGTAGTCCGAGAGTGGACTAAATGTAGTTTGACATCACTTAGCTGGAGTCATGGGAGTAACAGCCATACAAGGTCTTTAACCTTCTTTGTCAAAGTGTGCTGGTGCCTCACCAAACTACAAACCCCACGATTCCATAGTTTTGAGGCATAGCACTTAAAGTGGTGTCAAACCGCATGAATGGTACAATGTAGAAGCAATTTAGAACTCTGGATTCAGATCTCTGACAAGTTACACTCTCTCTCCCTTTGTTGTTGGCCCCATCGTGGACTTCAACAATCCTGGGAATGACAGACTGCCAAGATGCCCAGTCATCTACAGTTCTGCTTGCATGTTGCTAACTCAAGTATAATCCGGTTCAAAAGAACAATACAATAATTAAAAATAAAGAATAATTTTAACAAAAGTAAACCTATTAGTATTTCAATGGGAAGTGTGGGTCTGCTTTTGGCTGATGAGATAGGATTGCTGCTGCTGCTGCTGTTGTTGTTGTTGTTTGTGCTTTCAAGTCGTTTCAGACTTAAATTGACTCTGAGCAAGGGCCAGGTAAATGACCTTGGAGGACCCGGGCCTTAGTTTGGAGACCCCTGGAATAAAGGAAGCTGCATATCAGAACATACATACTGGAAACAGTAAGCAACAGGATCATAGATAAACAGATTACTAGAGAAGGCTTGAAAAAGGTTGCCATTTCCAACAGATAATTTGGGTTTTATATGGCAGTGCAGAAGGGACCTCAATTACTCCAGGCTGAGCCGAAGAATATGCTGTTTAGAAGTCTGGTGCTGCCTCTGTTCCCTTCTACACTGCCACATAACCCAGATTATCAAAGCAGATAATCCACAATATCTGCTTTGAACTGGGTTTTATTTATTTACTACATTTATATGCCGACCTTCTCTCCTCGAAAGGGACTCAGAGCAGCTTACAAGATACATACAGTATATTAAATTATTAGCATAGTACAATATCAGTATTATATATTACTATATTGTACTACACCATTATATTGTAATATTATTAGTAATACTACATGTAATATAAAATATATAATTACTAGCCGTCCCCTGCCACGAGTTGCTGTGGCCCAGTGTAGTGATCTGGAAAATAAAGTAATTAGAAAGTGTTGGTTTCTAATCTATGTAATGTCTTTATGCTTGTAGGTAAACAGTATTTCTTGATGTTTCTTTGTCAGTGTTGATGTGGAGATTGTCTGGTTTGCCTACTGGGGAACATGCAACATATAATGGTCCTTTTTTAGGGGCCCCTTTCAAATCTATAATACTATATCTGTGTGTCTGTGAATCCTATAGATCTATCTATATTTATGGCTGGATGGCTGTTTGTCAGGAGGGCTTTCATTACATTTTCTTGCTCTGGTGAAGGGAGTTGGACTGGATGGCCTTAAGTATTTTCTATTGGTCATGAGGGTTCTGTGTGGGAAGTTTGGCCCAATTCTGTCATTGTTGGGATTCAGAATGCTCTTTGATTGTAAGTGAACTATAAATCCCAGTAACTACAACTCCAAAATGTCAAGGCCATTTTCCCGTAAACTCCATCAGTGTTCATATTTGGGCATATGGAATATTCGTGCAAAGTTTGGTCCAGATCCATCATTGTTTGAGTTCGTAGTGCTCTCTGGATATAGGTGAACTCCCAAAATCAAGGTCAATGCCCACCAAACCCTTTTAGTGTTATCCTGGGATCAGATCCTGGGATGAAGGACAGTGTGGAAGGGCCCTAAGAGAAGGAGAACTGTGACTGTACACCTGTTTGCACCGTTTGCACCCTCTAACCTCTCTCTTCCCCCAATCCTTTACTCCCTTTCTAGGGAAAACAACGAGAATTCCAGCTCCAACGGCCACAACCCGCTCTCCTCTTCCCTGAACGGCAACAAAGCGGTCTTGGGCAGCTCTGAAGACGAGAAGACGCCCTCGGGGACTCCGGATCACTCCTCGTCCAGTCCGGCGTTGTTGCTGAATTCGAACCCAGGCTTACAGCCGCTCCACAGCTTGGGCCACCCGCAGGGTCCTAGCGCCATCCCGGTGCCCAGCGCGGACCCTCTGCACCACCACAGTTTGCAAGACTCCCTCCTCAACTCCATGTCCTCCAACTTGGTCGACCTCGGCTCCTAAGAACCCATTCGCACAGAGACGAATTCGACCCGCTTGTGGCATCCGCGATGGTCTCCAAACCAGGATTTCCCGCTCAGCTGTCCTCTGTAACAAAAAGCATTTTTTAAAAATCGAAAGGGATGGCAAACTCTTCTTGTCACGCTTTGGATCAGTCAGTAGCTGTCTGACAGGAGAGTGACTCTTTGGAAAGTTATGAGTAAATTCCAGACTTTGGTGACTGATTTGGGGGAGGAAAGATTTGGCAGAGAGGTAGGAGACTCCTCTTTAGGAATTTTGTTTGCAAGACAAGCAGTGACTCCAGAGAGGACAGTGCAGAAACTCATAAGGAAGGACGAGAACTAGCAGGTTCAGAGCAAGTTCAATAGCCTTCTGGTATCTGGCTGGACCCAGGCTTTGAGTAGTCAGTTTATTAACTCAACTTGATGTGCTGGGATCAGCACATGAAGCTTTTCCACACATAAAAGTGGAAGGGGACTAAGATCCCTTTCATATTACACAGTTATAGCACGATGGTTCCTCTTTAATTGCCATGGCCTGAGGCTTGTAGCTTGGTGAAGCACTAGAACCTTCTGGAGGAGAATGTTATAAAATCATAGAATCACAGAGTTGGAAGAGACCTCATGGGCCACCCAGTCCAACCCCCTACCAAGAAGCAGTAAATTTGCATTCAAAGCACACACACACACACACACACACCACAGATGGCCATCCAGCCTCTGTTTAAAAGCTTCCAAAGAAGGAGACTCTACCACACTCCAGGGCAGAGAGTTCCACTGCTGAACAGCTCTCACCGTCAGGAAGTTCTTCCTTTTGTGTGCCTTCAAGTTGCTTCCAACTTATGGCAACCCTAAGACAAAGCTATCAAGGGGTTTCTTGGCAGGATTTGTTCAGAGGAAGTTGCCTTTGCCTTCCTCTGCGGCTGAGAGGATGTGACTTACCCCAAGTCACACTGGGTTTCTATGGTTGTGCAGGGATTCAAATCCAAATTCCTCTCACCAAATTGCCAAGGTCCAGGATCCCATAGGATGGAACCATGGTAGTGGAAGTGGAACTATAGCACCATTAATTATATAGTGCAGTGGTTCCCAACCTTTGATCCTCCAGGTGTTTTGGACTTCAGCTCCTAGAAATCTTAGCCATCTTACTAGCTGTTAGGAATTGTGGGAGCTGAAGTCCAAAACACCTGGACCAAACATTGGGAACCACTGATAGTGTGAAAGGGCCCTAAAATTCAGGGCTGTTTTCATAGAACCATAGAATCATAGAGTTGGAAGAGACCTCATGGGCCATCCAGTCCAGATGACCATCCAGATGACCATCTGTCTGGGGTGCTTTGAATGCAATTTTCCTGCTTCTTGGCAGGGGGTTAGACTGGATGGTCCATGAGGTCTCTTTTTAGACCTGAACTCCCCCATTCTCCTTGACTGCCATTTTTTGGCAAAAGGAAAAAAAAGGAGAAGAATAGCAAGAAAATAAAATGGTGGGGAGTGAGAGAGAAAAATAATAATCAGATTGTATTGTCTCTCCCCAGTGCTTCCAAGGTTCAATGAGCTGTCCTTTAAATTAGTCAAATTGCCCTCTGTTGTGTGCTTTCAAATCATGTTTGGATTTGTGGTAACCCTAAAACAAAACCATCAAGTGGTCCTCTTGGCAAGATTTCTACAAAACCATCAAGTGGTCCTCTTGGCAAGATTTCTACAAAGGGGGTTATCATTGCCATCCTCTGATGCTGAGAGCTTGTATAGTGCCCAAGGTCATCCACTGGATTTCCATGCCTGGGAGTACATTTTGTTCTTTTCACCTATCCTTTAAAGCTATTTTCCCTTTTTGCTCAGCACACACATGACTGGGCCCATAACCCTTTGTTGGGGAATCTGAGCTGTTAGGCTCAAAAATAGCCCTCAGTTGGGGCAATTCCATCAAAATATAGCAGATTTCTCAACAGATTTGAACCTGGTCTGAGAGCCAGTGTATGTAGTGGCTTGAACATTGGAGTCTTAACTGTCGAGACCACCCCCCTTTCCGGGTTTGAATTCTTATTCTGCCATGGAAACTCACTGGGTGACCTTAGACAAGTCACATTCTCTCAGGAGGAGGAGGGCAGGGCAAACAAATCTTCCTGAGAAAATCCCATGATAGGTTTGATAAGGTGGAAACAGTTGAAGGCACACAATACCTCCTGGAGTCTTAGTCCAGCACTCAAACCACTATTTGGTTCTCAATGTTCTGTTCTTCTTGCACATCAGCAAATACCAGGGTTCTGGGAAGTGGACTTTTGCCCACTCTGGGGGTGTTTTTGGCAGGTCTTACACATGCTGTGGTTCCCAGGGGGAGAAAAGTGGCCTCCAGATCTGCCAAAGAATTCCCTGTCCTAGAATTATCATGGTTAGAATTCAGAAATTTGATTCAAAGTCCACAGCCCTTCCTGATGATGGTGGATTCCATACATCTATTCATCCTTTCCCATTCTGATATATTAATCTTGCCACAAATGTTACAGAACAATGTGCATGATTTCCAGCTAGCAGGCAATAAGCTGAGGTTGACAGGCTAAGCCAGGGGTCCTCAAACTAAGGCCCAGGGCCTGGATCCAAGGTCATTTACCCGGCCCTCTCTCAGGGTCAACCTAAGTCTGAAATGACTTGAAAGCACACAACAACAACAACAACAACAACAATCCTGTCTCATCAACCAAAAGCAGGTCCACACTTCCCATTGAAATACTTAGAAGTTTATATTTGTTAAAAACAATACAATAACTAAAATGAAGAACAATTTTAAGTGTTTTTTTGCACTGTGCATAAATATGTGCAGTGTGCATAGGAATTCATTAATGGTTTTTTCAAATTATAATCCGTCCCTCCAACAGTTTGAGAGACTGTGACCTGGCTCTCTGTTTAAAAAGTTTGAGTACTCCTGGGCTAAGCCTTCTAGAGAGCATATAGTTCAGAAAGGCCATATAAAGCTGTAAAGGTATGCAGACTTTGAAACTATTGGGTTGCTATGAGCTATGTATGGCCATGTTCCAGAAGCATTCTCTTCTGACATTTCACCCACATCTATGGCAGGTATCCTCAGAGGCTGAGGGGAGATAATACTTCTTGAACACAGCCATACAGCCCAGAAAGCTCACAGCAACCCACTGATTCCGGTCTTGAAAGCCTTTGACAACACTTTGGATTTGTTACCTTTTTTGGACAGTAGTGCCCAGATTCCCTAGTCACTGGGGATTCTGGGAGCGGTAATCCAAAAGGTCACTTTTCCAAGCTTTTTGGGACAACAGTGCCTGGGTCAGATGCAGAGTCTATAGGTAAAGTTGATAAATCCACTCATTCCTGTGTGTGACTATAAATCTGTGTTTGGGAATAGTGGTCAGATGAAATTATTGATCTGGGGACAGACTGCTTTAATTTACAATCTGCATTTTTTTTAAAAAGGAACCACACAAAGTAACTTCATGTAAGTTGTGGATGGCAGAAAAATAACAACAAAACTTTACATGATAGGTAAGGAGCAGAAAGCTGGGCTGGAAAGAGAAAAGACCACTTTCTTCTCCCAAACACAGCTGTGACGCCTGTCTTTTACAGAAAGGCAAGCTGCATTCAAGCTTATTAAGAGCTGTTGGGGTCAGACATGCCAGTAGTCCTCATGAATCACTTTTGCTATGCAAAACAAAAAGAAAGAAGAACATTGAAAAGGAAGGGAGAAAGAGTTTATGTTGTCTTCACCTTGTTGATTTTTTGCCATTATTGCTATTTTTAAGTGGGGACAGCAAACAAAACAAATCCTGAGATCTATATGTCACTTAAGTCAGAACTTGCCTTCTATGGATTGGGTCACCGGAGGCTCAAGTATCAGCAGCTGAAGCTGGGACATTTGGGTTGAGGCCATTGATTCTGTGGACTTCCTTCTGCCTCAGTTCCCTCATCGGTAAAATGGGAATTAGGGAGAACTACCTCACAGGGCTGTTTGTGAGGATAAAGACTGTACAGCGTTTTGCACATTTAACATTTGAGATAGCCTATATCACTCATTATTATTCATAATACTTGTGAAGTCTATGGGGCCAGTCCCCTGCCTCAACACTATACTTAAGTGGCTTCCAGGTTGTATTCTTTTGCTCCATGTCTGAACGGCGGGAAACTCTTGGCACCCACCCAAACCATACAGGGCCATGAGTAGTCCTTATATCTCTATCTATCTCTATCTATGTATCTATATATCATAAGCCGTTGCTGCTCATTGAAACCCAAGAAAAATTACCAAGCGCCAGCAAACTCCTCCCCAATCTGGAATTTTGTGTATTGTTTATATATTATGTGAATACGGTCTTTGGAAAAATATTTCTGCTTCTATTTTATAATAAAACCAAGAAATCCAGCCTATCATGGAAGAAATGAAAGGTTTCATTCTTAAACATCATGTAGAAGTATCACTTCTCTCTATTACTACTGTATATACCTGGCATTGCCCAGACATGCATTTTCTGAATATAGGATTCTGTGAAGAACCAAATTATTGTCATCTTAAGGACTTCTTTCCTCCTTCTCCAGCTCACTGCCATCCTTTCTTGGCCCTCTGAGAAGGCCACCCATAAAACCTCTCCATGGCAATGCTCAGGCCCTACTAGAGTGTCTCCTTGCTGATATTCTCTTTGATTTGTCACCTCTTCCTATGACATAGCGTTTCTATCTATATACTGCCCTCTTGTGGTTGCATTTGAGCAATGCATACCCACCTACCTACCTATCTATTTTGTTTTGGAGTCCTACCCCCAAATGGGGTCAATTTTTAAGTTGAAACCCTGCCAGTATTTTAGACTGGATCATGAAGGGTATGTGTACCAAGTTTGGTCTAGCTCCATCAAGCCATGCAGGAGCCTTTACGGAACATACATACACTTATATATGCACCTGACATTATTCTGGTATGCATTTTCTAATAATATTTATTAGAAATGCTCATTGTTAGCTTTATGAATGGTTCCCTTAGAAAATGTATACATGAATAATGGGAAGTTTAATAAAATCATATAGGTGAGTTGAGATTCCAGACTGGTGAGGCTGCAACTCCCATCAGCTCCAGATGTGGTTGGCTGGAATTCCAATCAGCCTTAGACCCGGCTAGCTGAAAATCCCACTTGAATCAGATCTGGCCAGGTGAAACTGCCATCACCCCCAGATCTGGTTGGGTTGGAACTGGCAATGGCACGGCTCTCTGGATGTGGGTGGACTCCAACTCCCATTATTCTCTATCCCCCCCCCCCTTCCAAACCCCACCAATTTTTAAAAGTGGATCATGGAGGGTATATGTACCAAGTTTGGTACAGATCCATCAAACTACAAAGGAAACTTTGTGGATCAAACATACATAAACATCCATCTATACAAATAATTTTAAATGTCAGAATTAAAACATGGAGTGCAGTTTCTGATAGCAACGTTGCACAACCACACTTATTAATTAAATTCATATGCATGATGAAGGTTTTCCATTTGTGGATACTAAGGCCCCACTGTAAGTTCATTAAAACTGATGGGATTTAAGTGTAGATTACACAAGTACAGCTGTGGGCCCTTTAGGTCAGATAGTTCCAGTTCCTGTTGGATTACAACTTTCAAAGTTCCTAATACTGGCTATGTTGGCCAGAAATGATGGGAACTACAATAAAAAACAGATCTAGAGCAAGAGTAGGTATCATGCATCCCACCTGTTGCTGCAGGACTGCAGTTCTCAACCTTCCTTGCCATTGATCATCTTGGGTAGGGCTGTTGGAAATTGCTGTTCAGCAAAATTTGGAGGACTTGATGATTCCTATCTGAGCTCTAGATGCTGTTGGACTGCAATTCCCACTTTCCTCAATGTCATTATCTTAAGCATCAAACACTCCCCTTTGGATTGGGGTACAGAAACTGTCGTCGTCCACATGTTGGGAGACTCCAGTTCCCATCTCTGACCATAATTTAGTCTGTCTGGGGAATATGGAAGTTACCATAAGACTTAGCAAACGAGGTAAAAAAAAAAGAGTAAGCCAGATAACCTCCAGATGTTTTGGACTCCAAGTCGCATCTGCCCTGGCTGTAAAAGAACATGATAAAAGATAACGGGAAATATATTCCAACACGATGTGACATCACTTTAACTGCCATAGCTCAATGATATGGAATCCTGGGAGCTGTAGTTTGGTGAGAAGGCTAAAGACCATGTAGAACTATAAATCCCATGGTTCCATAGCATTGAGCCCTGGCAGTTGACATGCTGTCAAACTGCATTAATTCTACAGTGTAGCATTACAGGGAGCTCTGGCATGGACTAGTTCATGAGGTCACGAAGAGTCGGAAGTGACTGAACGAATGAACAACAAGCACCCTAGAGACAAACGGGTAGCCATTTGACCATCTGATAAGTAGCATGGGGAACTTGAGAAGCTTTTCCATTAAAGGTGATGAGTTGCTGTTGTTGTGAGCTTTCAGGTCATTTCTGACTGCTGGATACCCGATCAGGTAAGATTGATCTGAAGTAAACAATATTCTGTAGCAAAGCGTGAAGTCCTGTGTATTGCAATGGAGAGTTCAGTTTGGATTTACTGCCAAGTAAGGGTGTATCTACACCACAGAATGAATGCAGTTTGACACCACTTTAACTGCCATTGCTCAATGCTATGGAATACTGGGAATTGTAGTTTCACAAGGCCTTTAGCTTTCAGCCCCTGCCTTCATCAAATAAATGTTGCCAAGAAAACTGCATGACAAGCTTGTCATCAACCGAAAAGGTCTTGAAGGCATAAACAACAACGAAGTGCGATAGTAAAATGGCCTTATGTAAAGCTTCCATAGACCCAGACTTGTCTACAGCAATTCTGTGTTCAAAACCAGTTCCACATCAAATCCCATTCCCATTAATACTTATTGTTCAATCTGTTCCAGATATGGTCTCATTTCACAAGTGGAGAACCGAAACTCACCAAGTGACTTAATTATTAATTTGGGATTTTCAAGGGATTAAGTTCTGATTCATGAGCAATGAGTTTTGCGTGGGTAAATCTTACCTTGGGAAAACTTGTTTTCAGCTTTTTAATAAATAAATAATGAATCCAGACATTTTTAAAAAATCCAGTGTTAGTGTATGATAAAGCCATTGACTTTATTATAAACTGTTCTGAAAGAAAATAGTCTTGATTTCCTACAGAACCTTTCAAAAACTTCCCAGAAGAAAAGTATACAGTAAAATGTTTCAAAGACATATGTTTCTATCTTTGATGAATTTACACAGTTTCTGCTATATTCAAGGACTAATTCACATATGCAAAGCTTTCTATTTATTATTCTACACTTGAAATGTAATTTTAGATACAACAGTTTAAGAAGGCTATGGACAAGCTAAAACTGTCTATTGCAGTGATTCCCAAACTGTTTTTGACCAGGGACCAGTTGACCAGGGACCACGCTCCAACATTAGTACCAAAAGGGTTATGAATCAGTTTTTGATCAACTTTAGATTTGGATTGGTTATTTGGGGTACTGATTCAGAAAATTGCATTAGATAGACCACATCAGCTCTAGTTTCTGATATAGAACATATGTCATCCAGTAGTCGCCATCTGCTCATCCACAGAAAACCATATTTAATAAGTCTTGGCACTATAAGAGGATTTTGAGAGGAATTGCTCTCGTTGCAATGGTGTAGTAATGGTGAGGCTGCGGACCATATTTTAGTTCTTGCAGATCACTAGTCTATTGGAATAGCATGCTTTAGTGAGCAAGACCTCTAGAGAACAATCCCTAAGAGACAATATTGGGTGACATGGAGAAGACTGAGAAGACTGAGAAGTAATATGAGTGCCGTCTTCATAGATGAAGATGGGAGATGGAGCAAGCTCAGAATCATGGAGATGGAAGGGACCACAAGGATAATTTAGTCCAAATCTTCTGCAATTCAGGAACTAAAGGAATCTAGAGAGATTCCTGTTCTGTTTAAAGATCTCCTTCCTTGGAAATTTTAAAACAGAGGCCAGATGGCCATCTGTCAGGGGTACTTTGTGCTTTTCTTGCATAGCAGGGAGTTGGACTAGATGACCCATGTGGTCTCTTCCAATTCTATGTTTCTATAATTTGATGAGTGTCTACTGTAAAAGTTGAGTATCTTTACCCTTTGGAAGTGCTTAGATAGAATTTTTTTGGCTGGAATTTGAATCCCTTGGTTTGTCTTCTAGGCTCT